CTGCAGGTGAGCATAAAATACCTAATTTCATTTCTGTGCATATTTCTTTGTAAACTTTGTCAGATCTTGACTTATCCTCTTAAATTGGTTGTCTGGATGATCTTTGTTATTTTTAAAATAACATATGGATGTAATTATGCATAAATACAAAAATACATGGAACTATACTCAGAATCAGTAAAAACTTTGTTGAAGATTTTGCTGTGATTTTGTATTTGTCTCTTATGTCTATGTCAGATTTTTAAATGAAAATGGCATGTAGATTTTTATCAGCAGTGCCTGAAGGCTATCTCCAAGAGACTGAATTTTTCATGGAATGACAAAAACGCCTGATTTTTGGAAAGCCATACCTAAACTTTGAATTGGAATTCAAGAAACATTGTATTCCCACCTCTGCTGTCTGCTCAGCATTTATCTGATCTCATACATGTTACTGTTTGGCATTTTTTTTTTTAGTTTTTCTTTTCCACTGCTGTTATCTATGTGCTGTATCCTGTGCATCATACTTTGTGCAGGATATCCCACAACTGATTCATGTACTAAATTAAATGATAGTGTAGACACTTACATTCCGCAATATCTCATTTATTTTCTAAGTGTTTTTCCTTGTTTTTCACTGGTCACAGAAATCTAATAGCATTTTCAGAAGAAGGATCTGATCCATATGTGCGAATGTATTTATTGCCTGATAAGAGACGATCGGGAAGAAGAAAAACACATGTATCAAAGAAGACATTAAACCCAGTGTTTGATCAAATGTATGTTCTAAACTATGTATAGTAGTTTTATATCATGTAATTACAAAGCTGTCAAATCAAGGTTTCTCAGCTTACTTGAATGGATGAGCTCTTGAAACTCAGCTGTCACCACCAGACTTGATCCTACCTTTCTCTTCTGCTGTAATAGCTCTTCCCATCCTTCTATTCCCTGTTATCACTATAACCTTTCTTACTCTGTTACCAGCCACTCCTCTCTTCTGCCTTATCCTATGTCAGTTACATCCCCTTTGGGCTGGTGGCTAAGAAGCAGAGTGCACCGATCTGGCAGGTGGTCAGAACATGAGTGCCTCTTAGCTGGCCAGTGCTGTTGGTATCCCTTCGTGTCAGGAAGCATGTGGATTCAGACTGGCCGATTGCCTGGCTGGGAGATGCTGCCTCCTTGGTGTGACTGGTCAGCCAGTGTCTATGCATGATTGAATTGCTCAGTCAGTCTATTTGGTGGCACTTCTCAGCACCCAGGGAGTCAGGAAATTTCCTTGTAGGTTATATCATGGCCCATAGGTTGGATGTTGTGCAAGCTTGTGCAGTGTTATATGGCATAAAAATCCTTATCTTTGCCCTCAGCTTTTTCATGGTAGTTTCCCTCACATGTGTACACCCTTCCTCCCCCACCCATCACTTACCAATAAAGACCTTTCTATACAGACAGAAACTTAATTTGGGGAAAAACACACTTCAGTCCGTTCTGTCCAAGGGAAATCTGTAAATCATTAGTAAGGGGCTCTGGTAGGTTTTCCTGGTACTGCATCTCCTCGTGTTTATTCCAGGTAATAGATGTGTTTTACTGTGCTTTTCCAAGTAAAATGTATTGCAAAGCAATAAAGCTGTTTAAGAGCTGTAGTGACAAATAGATGTAGATTGTAGTACAATCTTGCCCTCGCTTTCTGTAAGTTTCAGAGCTAGCAAACTAAATGTGTTCTTCCTTAAAAGATGATAATGTGTTTTCTTTCCTTGGTGTGCCAGGAAAGAAAAGGAGCTCTGGTTCTAGAGGACTGAGGATCAGTAAGATTGACCAGTCTTTCCCTTTTGGAGAATAGTGATACTGAGCTGTCAAGATAGTAGGATTCCTCATTCTCTTCTCTGTAGAGTCAGCAGTTGACCTCTTCCTTGTTTTGTTTTGTTTGGGGTGTGTGTTTGTTTGTTATGTTTTGCCAGTGGTTTCCAGACACCAAAGGTAACAGAAGTCTCAAACATTTGATGTTGATATTGATCATAGTATTGAAGAAAAATTTTAGGCAAACATTGAGATTTTTTTCTTCATTTATCTCAGACTTCTTTTTTTGTTTGGGGAGGGGGATGGTTTGGTTATGATTTGAATTGTTGTTTAGCTGTAGGAACTGAACTTGCACTTCAGGTACAAAATTCTCTCTAAAGCATCACTTTGCCTGTCAGATTTGATTTCAGTGTTTCCTTGCCTGAAGTGCAGAGAAGAACACTAGATGTAGCAGTGAAGAACAGTGGTGGCTTCTTGTCCAAAGATAAAGGGCTACTTGGCAAAGTAAGTTGACAAGCAAATTCTGTTAATGCAGCATGTCATTATGTAAGACTAAAATCCTCTTGTATTATGAGCTTGTTAGTGTTAACTGAAGCACCTAATTGAGGTACAAATCTTTTTTAAACTTATCAATGGCTTAGATATCAAGCTTCAGTAAGGGAAGGAACAACCTACAGAGGCAGATATAAAAAGATGAAGCAATAATCTCTTCTAGAGAATGGTAAGTTCTGAGGCTTACAGTAACAAAAGAAACCTGCATGTCAGACTTACTAATCGTACAGTCGGAGAAAGGAAATAACCAGTAGAAAACAGGTGATATCTCAGAAAATGTTCAGACAAAACTGGGAAGACAAGCAAGAATACTTAGAGAAACACACAGAACTAACGTGTGTTTAGTAACTCCAGATTGTAAAAATCCATGAGAAAGAACTGCTGCTGGAGACGTTTCCAGTGCCAAAACCAGCTATTGTGTTTACAGTTTCACTGTTCTATAGGCAGTCATTAAATCACTTAATTTCCTACACATGTGATTTGAAGCATGCAAAAAAGGAATAATAAATTGCGACACCCTTGCAAATTGGCATATTTGAGCTCTGCAAAGAGGATGAGAGATATCAGAATTGTGGTCAGTTCATGGTGAACGATGTTCTTAATTTTACTGTTTACCAGGTAACACCATACTGTTTATGCTGTTAGCATAAACCCATCAGCTGATTGCCATTGACAAGAGGTGCGATGTTCAGAATTTAAGCCTGTGAGGTGCTCTGGGACCATATCACTGAAGGGCATAGCTTTCTAGGTCAAAACCATCAACAAGAAATTTTATACTACAAGTCAGGCAGATAGCTATGATGACAAGGATGTAAAATATATTGTTTATTAATGGTATTACTTACACTGTAGTTTACAGAATTGTCAGATTTGATCTTTAAAAGACATAGAATGAAAGGCACACATAATGCATTGATTGCTAATTTAACTTTCCACAGGTATTAATACCTCTGGCATCTGAAGAACTTGCTAAAGGCTGGACCCAGTGGTAAGTATAGCATTTCCTTTATTAATAATACTACATACTAATAACTAGTGTGTTAATAATAGTTTTAATAATACATGCTAAATATAAAAAAAAATTTCCTTTGTGTTTTTCATTTTCAGGTATGATTTAACAGAAGATGGTACAAGGCCACATGGTGCAAGTTAGGCTCATGGACACTGGGAATTCCCCACGCATCACTTTGCCAACCATTATATATTTTTAAAGCGTTCTTCTCACAGATGTACCAATATTATTTTTATAGCTTTACTGATTTAGTTCTTAGACACATCCCCAATAATTTTATAACACTTGGTTATTTTATGTAGACATAGCCTTTCTCATGGTTAAACTTTGTATTTTAATTTGCTAAACAATTTAATGTGTTACTGTAATGTGCAATAGTACAGTAAAGTAACCTTTTGTGTTTAAATTGATCTTTGTGACGGCTGTACCTATTAGAAAGTGAAAAGATTATGTTCTGCTGTTTTCCTGCCTTGTTTTATATCTCACCAAGGTATACTGTATCATGTAAATATATACTATTTTTTTATAGTTCTCTCATGCTGATTTGAATTCAGAAGAAAATTAGATAAAGGATATAGATATTTTCTTCTAAATGCATGTTAATTTCTTCAGATGAATCTCCTTTGTCTTTGCAGCACAATGGTCTTAATCATTTTGTGATATTCTTCAAAAACAAAATGCAGAAAAACATTTTTACTTTATTGTGTTTCTGGCCCAATGTGGCTAGCTTAAAATGTACAAAACATTAACATTTTAATATTTATATATACATGTATTATTGGAAAATCATGCTATAGAATATTATAAATAAAAGTCAGAATTCTATAAATATTGTATAAATAGATGATGAGGTCCATGAATCTCAGTTTCTAAATCTGAGTTTTCATTTAATGGAGTAAACATAACAAACAGTACAGTTTTATTATACAGGTCCACTTGGATTTTGTTACTTATTCCTGTACTCTGTAGTACTACACATGTGACCTTTTGAAGGTATGAGGACATGGATTTTTCTGTATTATAAACAAAATCTCTAACCACTTAGAACTGTCCTTACTGCCATGTTTCACTGATTTATAAGGTATACAGATCAGCTTGCAAAGTAAGTTCATATAGTAGGCATACATACAAGATGTTATTTTTATTATACAATACTGTGCTAAATAGTATATTATGCTATACCTTCTGTAATACTGAAATGGAACACCAATAGGTAAGAAAGTGTGAAACTGAGTTGAAAATGACTGTCTTTACAGTTGCTTCATTGATACTTAGTGTGTTGCGTGCATGAAAAAAATGCACTTCAGTGGTCCACACAGGTTTTTTGAGAAATAACGGCATTCTACAGAAGCATTGCCATCATCTGCTGCAAGACTACAGCAGTTATACAATTAGCACAAACTGATAAAAGTAGACAGTTGAGAGTTCAAGGGAGAGTATCAGCCTAAACAGCTGAGCTCGTAACTTTTAATTTTATGAATTATGGGGAATTTTTTTGTATTTGGAATTGATTTTTCTTTTTCTGGTAAGTATTCTCAGACTGTTATATAAAAATGTGCATTAAGAATCCAAGAGGACAGTTCAGCTCTTTCAGAGCCAACACCCTCATTCTTGGATAAGTATGCAGTTAGACAGACAAAGTATATTGTTTAGCTAAGATTCTAGAATGATCTCTCAGCCAAGAAAGAATTTTAAAGCAAAATAATAAACTCCTGAAATTAGCTTTATTGTAAGATTACTGACAGAACCTTAATTCTAGATGTAGAATATGCCTACATTACTAGATGTACCAAAGTGCCTACCATAGATGTAGCTTTTTGTCTTTTTCAAGTTTAAGAATTTACTCATTTCAGTTTGTCTAAATTCACATTAACATTTGTCATACACCTCTCTATACAGTGATGGCCTTCTTATTGCCACATTTTATACAAGACAATTTTAGCAAATGAACTTACACTGTAAATTTTGCTGCTGTTACTTTCTGATGGACTGGGCAATAGAGAGGTTCTTTGTAAGAAAGCATTTCCATTTGAAGGCTTCACTCTATATTGGAATGTATGAGTATCTATATATATATATACACACTCATTTATTCATATAAAATGTAATATATTACAAAATACATATTTTCTTTGCTAGTTCTCCATTAAAATGTTACGAATGGAAAGACAGAGAATTAATGCAATGAAAATGCAGAAAGTGAAAGCTGATCTAAATAAAGGAGGTCTATGAGCAGCAGTTCAGCATAATTGTCTTTTGCCTTGGTTCAGCCTCAGGTGGAAGGACTTTTGCCGTACATCTTGGCCAGTGACTCCCCAGAGTTTGAGCCATAGCTGACAAATGGGCTGTTAAACTGATTTGGTGTCAACTCCTAAGTGAAGTTTGGGGACAGATGTTAGAAAACTCTGCACTTAAACAAAAGTCTGTCTTCTAAAGTCTGGAGGGGAGAAATAATGCTCTGTTTGGTTAAATGTGAGATGATAGCACAAAGTGAATAACTGAATAAAGTATACAGGACAGGTTTCCAAAATTGCTCACAACCTAAAATTAGGGATAGGCTCTCAAGAGAGCCCAGTTCCCATTTAGGAATCTAAAATGAAGAGATTGAATTGTGATTGTAATTCAGCAACAGCAACTCCTATTGACTGTAATCAGTCCAGGATGCCAAACTCTTTAGAAATGTTCTCCTGGGTGAATTTGGATCAGAACATGACTGATGAGATTTGATTCATTTGATAGTGGAAACAAACCTCTGTATCATAGTTACCAAATCCTGATTGTTCTGTTTATATGGAAGTAGGAAGGACAAATATAATTTTCCCTCTGGGCAAAAATTACACCTCATTATCGAGTCAATGTATTAAATATCAACTGATAGCTTTTCATATAGTTCTTGTTTATCCTGTGCCTTAAAATATGATCATATGAAGATGTTTAAGAAATGGCTAAAAATAAGCTTTGTTACCTGTATGTACCAACACATGTTCTCTACTGTTGAAACTGTTTTTAGAATGACTCTGCTTCACTGACAAGAAAACCAGCTTTCTTAATTATAGCAGTGGTATAACCCGAACTCAAATCAGCATGCATATCACTTGGTTTTGGATTAAAAGAGTTTTAATTTTCTGTCTTGAATCCTTTATCAGAGCTGCAGCAAATGGTGAGAGTTGAAATGAGAACAAAGGGTAATCAATTTTGTACAGATTGCCTTTTTTGCTCATGTAATTCTACATTGATGCATGTATTTATTCAATAAATGGTTCATATGGAAGTCAGTGTGTTGCTTCCCTCTACACACACACTCCCTTTTCCTCTCTTTTGCATGTCGCTGTCCTAATTGGTAATACAATGAGGCAAATTTTTAAAATAGTCATATATGCTGACTACTTTAACCTAGGTAGCCTTGCTGCAAGGTGCATAGGCAGATTTTTGGGTTTGACATGAGAGAAACTGGAGTGAGAAGTACAGGATACTTCACTGGGGAATTCCTTGCTTGTTCGTCTGGAACAGATTCACACATAAGAATTAGTACGTCTTTTGTTCAACCTAAGTGTCTAAAATTTTTTCTCTTAAAATGATCAGTTGAACAAATGGTCATGATTCTAGCACCTACTAATCAATTGTCGTTAATTATGTTTTCAAAAGGACCTAGAACTGCATGTAATTGCCTTGGATTTAGAACCAGCAGATTCCTATGTGTGGCATTCTTTCCTGTCTTTCCACCTGCTTGGTAAGGCAGATACTGATAGAAAATACAGCTATATACTGCATTGGATCCTCTATCTATTATGAAAAAACAGCCATAGAAATTATGCTGTTTGCATTAAACGTTAATTTATATTTAATTATAATACCATAATTAATTATGATACCTCTTCCCTTAAACAGTTACAACTTGTCTGAATTCCTAGCTGCAGAAGTTCATCACCCAGTCACTATCGCATTTAGAAGGGACCCCACTGGATAATCTTTATTGCTACTAACTACAACATTATATATATATATTTTTATCTTCCTTTTTTAGCAGAATAAAGGACTTCTGCTAATCAATGAGAAGGCAGCTAAAGCCAAATAAAAGCGTGCCCATCTCCCTGACTCCCTCATGGCAAGGTGTTTCTGGATGGCACCCTTCCTGGCAGGGCCAGTACTCATCGGGTGTCTGCATTTTCCAGACTTGGATCAAAATCAAGCCTTCCATTCAGTCCCGTAAGACAGGTGGTGACTGGATCAGGATCTGCAAAAGAATGGTGCCTATGTATTCACAGGATCTTGTTAGAAAGCAGAAATAATTGTGCAAGACACTCCTCCAGATGGATTTGGTATTAATTTGATGGGCTCAGCCAAGCCTAGACATCCAAGAGCAGTGTTTGCCAATATAGTTACCAATATGGTTATTTTGGGTATTTTCTCGGCTAAGAGCTGAATACAAAATTGGTTTTCTATGTGGTTTCTGCTTTAATCAGTTCAATTATTTATATATTCCCCCAAGCAAACTCTGAGTGTTAGATGGTAACTTTGATGGTAGAAAGAACCAAAACTTCAGAAGGTCCCAGACCTATTTGTGTCTGTAGCTGGTTGCTGAAGGAGTCAGGCTGTTTAATCACAAATGATGTTTTTATACATCGTAACGAAGTGTCTGACTTTATTGTTGTATGCTCTCCTACTGACTTCTAAGGCTGTCAGGCATTCAACAATGTTCTTAGCCACCTTCTGAAATATATTATTTGAAACAATGTAAAGCAGCTAAAGTAAAAAACCCACTTGTATTTCCTTCAGTGTTATGCAGTGAATTTAGCTGCCAGATTAGATGGCAGCTCTGGAAGAAAAGTTCTCTAATCTGTATTCATGTGATAGAGGTGATGCTCTCTGTTCTCACCATCTGCAGGGAATATTGCTTGCCAGTTACCTACAGTGGAATCCAACTTGAGCTGACTGCTGCATATCTATTTCCTCAGATGCTACTACAGTGAAGCCAGCCTGTCTTCCCCTGTTGTTTCTTTGAGTCCCCAGTAGCTGTATGTGGAGGTGCATCTCCCCCCACTTCTCTGGGCCTCGCTACCATCTCAGGAATCCCTGTAAGGCCTTAGCCTTTGTGCAATGAATTGGGTGGTTAAGTGTCCCTTGACTCTTTCACAGCTAAG